AATTTTTTTTTTAAAAAAAAATCATTAATAAAATAAATAAAATTCTAAATCCAAATTCTTCTAGAATCTCTAAATCCAAGAATTTAATTCAATTAATTTCTATAACATCTTTAATCTTTCAAGTAATCTCCAATCCTATATATTTTTTCTTATTTTAATTAATTATATATCTTTCTTTCGAAAATCATGATACCTCGATATCCAACACCTTATACCCTACTTAGAAAATTTGTGCTTCTATTCTTAGCAATTATTCTATATCTCTTTATCAAATTCTTCTAATTAAATATCATATATATTTATATATTATCGAAATCAATTTATATTTGAAGAAATTATATCAAATAATTCATAAATATTCGATATAAATAAATAAACGAACTATAAATTATAAAGAAATAATATATAGCAGAAATTTAATTTATATTATCGAGTAAAATATATCTTATAATTATTTCATAATTTACATATTCTATTATTAATTTCATCATTTCAGATATTATCTAGAATACCCTTAATGAAATTCACTTGTGCTTCAAGACAAAGATATGAATTGGCATACTTCTCTGGTAAAGGGTTGCTATCTCATATCGAATTTTTCTAGGTCCAAGAACTAATAATTGGAGAATACAAAAAGGGCTTCCTCGTTGGGAAGCAATATCTCCAGACAATCCGTCTTTTGTCACCAGCGTTGAGTTTCATGGCCAGCCTCAGATCAAGCAATGTTGGAGGTTCTTGAGCAGTAGCTTGCAGTTTTCATGCGGTTTTAAATATGCCGCCCTGGAGAAAGTTGAAGCTGAGGTTGTTTTCCTTGCGCAACAACTACTGCAAGTATTTGTATGCCTTTTCCTGACAATATTTCTCACCGTGCCAAACTGATACGTCTGGCAGTCCTGATGCTATACTGAGGTTCGCAAAACCTATCTATTCAGCTAAGCCCAGATCCACGCTGGGACTGCAAGACCCCAGCTCCATCCAGAGCCGCGACTGACCCACTGCAAGGTTACTGTTTTCCGAAACAGTACCGGGGGAAGCGGGTGCGACGCTGAGGAATTCGCTGTTCTTCTTCTTGGCGGCGGGAGCCGCCCTCGGCTTCTGGACCTGTCTGCCTGGAAAGCAGTAGACACGCGTACGTACCCACACTAGATATGCAAGTCTCGAGACCTGCCCCAGCAGCACACTGAACATCCCGCATCATCCCGCCCCGCGTCTTCAACTGCCGAATTTGCACCTGGTCATTGTCGCTGCCCTCGCGTAGGTGGGCTGCACAGGACGGTCTGACAATCGATCTAGGGGTCGATGGCGCGACGGCTGATGTTGGCCTCAGCTTGCTCGATTGAACTGAGAACGATCAGGAAAGACTGACTAGTAGTACACTAGGAAGCAAGAAGTTACACCACGAAGAACCAGCGAAAGGAGAAATGCATGAGTGCACCCAACACCAGGAGCAGCGAATCACGATGGCAGCAGCAAAGGATGAAGCGAGCACTAGCGATGACAACATGGCTACGCGCAGGAGTGGCATGCGCGAAACATTGCCCAAGGTGAAATCAAGAGCCTGGGAGGTGGCAAAAATGACATCATCGGCGGTCCGGCCGAGGGCTGGAGATAATGAGGCACCACTGCTGGCGGCCTGCGAATCAATGCATGCTCCTCTTCGCAATATGTGGAGTTATTCGTGGACAAAGATCAGTGCGGCTGTGCTACCTACGAGGTGTCTCGTCTCCAATGCCACGCCTCCATACCCCGGGGTCTGCGGCTGGGTACGGAACTCTGGGTGACCGTGATCGAGATCGCGTCCTGGCACATGTCATCGCAGAAAAGCATGTGTGGACATAGAGGATACCAGCATGTAGCTTTACTTGGCTTGTGCGGGTGTGCGGAGCTTCATACCTGAAGTCAAGGCGGTTCCTTGCCCTGGTGAATGGCGGATCGGCATTTAGCGAAGAAGACTTTGCTACGGACGACATGGGCCGAACCCCGGTATTAGCCTTACGAAAAAGACTGGAAGACCCAGTGAAGCTACACGTGTGGTTGGAGGATTAGGAAGCGTGCATTCTGCGCTCGGCCACTTCGGGTCTCTCCCTCATCTTCCCGCTCTTCGTCTGAGAGAGTCTCACCCTGGGGACTCGGTTACTTGGGGTCCGACCGTCTCTTCCCCGTGGTCTGCGAAGAGCAGGAGAAGTCGTCAGGTCCTCCCTGCCCATTGGATACTGAACGGTCCTTGTGCGACCAGGAGGCGTCGGCGAGCGATACCTGCACCGGTTCTAAGCTGCTACGGTCCAGCGGATCTTAAGCCCTTCCCTGCAAACAGCAGTTCCTCCCTCGAACTCTAGCCAACTTTCCTTGAAGACTCGATGAAATCAAACACCCACCTCTGCACTTTCATGGGCTTGTCGAGACAGTTAACATTGTTCAGCAGCTCGATTGCTTCGTCGACACTGGCGGGATCCGCATATTCCTTCAAGCCGTTACTTTGACTGTGTGCTTCACATGATGAAGAAGTGGGGCGAGATCACGATTCGGCTTAAGGTCGTGAGTCTGAGGTGATTATGCTCCTCTTGGTGACGGCCGAGGGGCTACGAACGCACAACCCTTGAATTTGCCATTCTTCTCGCGGAGCAATTTCACGTGGGACCTTAGGATGCAGACCATGCTGTCAGGATGTTTCCGCTCGAAGTGCCTCGTTGCTTTTGTCTCCAGGCTGAAACATGAAGTTGGCCGGCACCTAATGCTTGAATGGTTCCTGGTGTCACAGCGGGTTCCGGCAGGCCAGGGCATGAAGCATCAACCGATTCGGGAGCTTCCAGGAATCGTTACCATTATCTTTATCATTCAGTAGAATCATTATTGTTACTATCGATGATCTTATTATTACTTAGTATTAGTAGTATTCTTCTCTTTATTGTTATCATTATTCTTATTATTGGTAATATGCCCGACCGGAAGCCGGCCGCAAGCTCCAGGCAGAAGGTTCTGCCGCTATTTCCCCCCCCCCCCCATCCGACAAAGCCCACAGGGATATCCCGAGCCCCACAAAGCCTACAGGGCTTGGCCCTCTTAAGCTCCAGGTCCTACTGCGATTAAGGGGCTTAAGTAGGGCTTTGTTCTTGGACTCTTAGGCTTCCGGTCCTCTTACGGGAGCTCCCTTGAACTGGCGGAGCGGCACTTCTCCACCGCCTTCCATGGTCTCGCGAAAAGTGTTTTCGTCAAGCTCCGCAGGAAGATTCCCAACGAAGACATGGGGCCTCCTCCAAAAAAACAGGCACAAAAACAACCAGCAGAGCAGGCAGGGTGTAGCTTTGAAGCCTCTAGCTCGCCAGTAGATGCAGTCATCGGCAATTGGGAGCCCTTTGGAGGTCCTGAACGGTGCACTGCTTGTTCGACCAGGAGGTGTCGGCGAGCGATACCTGCACCGGTTCTGAGCTGCTACGCTCCAGCAGATCTCGAGCCCTCCCCTGCAAGCAGCAGTTCCTCCCTCGAACTCTAGCCAACTTTCCCTGAAGACTCGATGAAATCCAACACGCACCTCTGCACTTTCATGGGCTTGTCGAGACAGTTAACATTGTTGAGCAGCTCGATTGCTTCGTCGACACAGGCGGGATCCGCATATTCCTTCAAGCCGTTACTTTGACTGCGTGCTTCACATGATGAAGAAGTGGGGCGAGATCACGATTCTGCTTAAGGTCGTGAGTCTGAGGTAATTATGCTCCTCTTGGTGGTGGCCGAGGGGCTACGAACGCACAACACTTGAACTTGCCACTCTTCTCGCGGAGCAATTTCACATGAGACCTTAGGATGAGACCATGCGCACTTCGGTGGCTGTCGTCCTCTCCATGGTATAGACAAGAAACAACCCCAAAGCCTAGTCATAACTCAACCCTAACTACAAAGAGCCTTGATCTGGCTGAGCGGCACTTCTCCACCGCCTTCCATGGTCTCGCGAAAGGTGTTTTCGTCAAGCTCCGCGGGAAGATTCCCAACGAAGAGATGGGGCCTCCGGAAAAAAGTCCCAGCAGAACAGGCAGGATTGGGTTTGCGATTTGAAGTCATTAGCTAACCCTCCAAGACTGTTCCACCCGCAAACCGTAGGTGCGAGGCAGATTTTTGCAGCAATCTCCATGTTGATACACATTCGGATGCCTTCGTATGCTCTTGTTCGAATCAACTCGCAACAAGAAGAGGTGTCTTGGCTTGACATCTTACGTGGAACCCCAGGGTTCTAGCCCATCGAGTGATTCCGGACCCTAAGCCCTAACACATACAACCTTTTTCTGGCCGGAGTCGAAGCTATCGATGCTTTTCATAGGCATGACTGCTACATACATCCAAAAAACGAAGTCTTAAACCCGCGGGGCCTCACCGATGTCTTCTGCTGTTGCTGCTGGTCTTTCCGTTGTGGTGATCGGCTTTTTGCTCGGACGACTTTCACGGACCGTCCACGAAAGTCCACCTTCTGCAGGCATTCCTTTGCCGTGGGTTAGGCTTGGTTTGGGATTCAGGGCTGTTCCTCACGATGGGGAAAATCTGCATGAGTTTCGGGGCTTGTCCTCTCAGTCTTGACACACCCTTCGGTGGTAGCAGCTTACATTGAAATGTCGAATAGGCAGCCTTCCGTTGCAACCACCAACCAGCTACATGCACACACACACACACAGGCTGCTGCACCGAAAAACCGCACCGTTTCTTCTGCCTCACTGCAGAAGCATGGATCAAAAGGGGAGTCATGCAGTACATTGTCCAAGACTCAAGCTATCGGCCTTGACAAGACATGACAACCTCGCTGCCATCCCGTGGTTTGCGCTCTCACACTTGCACTTGCGCCAGGCAATGCCAGGCATTTTCCCCTGCTTAGCTGACTTCATGTCAAATGGAAGGCCCTATGCATCCACCCACCAACCCCAAATCCACTAAACTCACTAAACCCTAGCTTTCGAACCAGTAGACCAAAAGGCCTACATCCCGCAGGATCAGTGTCTTAGCGAATTAGGCCACGATGAAATGTGGTGATGATCCATGTCAACGAACCATTCATACTCCACTCGCTTCATTGGCTTGTGAGACGTGCAGCAAATTGCAGCACTTTCGGCATTTTTGGTACCAAGCCAAGTCACGTGTTTCTGTTTCGTTGGCCGTTGGATCACGTATACAAATTCATTCACTGCCCACTGCAGCATTTCCTACAACAAGTTCGTTGCCCCATCGATGCTACACTGTCAAAGCCCCACACGAGAGAATCAATTCAGTGAGGGCTCCTCACCTTTACTTTCGCAACATAGCACCAGGCATGACGAATGGACCCTAAACCCGAAACCACCATGAAATAAGCAAACGAGAGCTCCATCTACCGGGTCAATTGAAATTGCCATACTATCCACCTGCACCGAAGGGTTTCACCAATGCTGAAGTCAACACGAAACCTCTCCCAAGTGGTCGGATCTAAGAAGAAATGTTTTCAAATCTGCTAGCCCGGCTTCCTGAGCTGCTTTCGCATGCGCTGCCTCCTTGTATACCACCTGCGCATGCGTAAAGTCTTTCTCGTGGAGGACTTTTACCTTGGATTCAAAGCTGTGCAGGACAAGCATTGCGCCAGCTTCAGAATGCATAGGCCGACCGTGGAACCTGTGTAATCTTCCCATATGGCTCGAACAGCACCCGCAGCTCGCTCTCTTGCGCTGACCGAGGCAGATGTCCTTGGTCGGCTTGACTTGGTTACACATGCAATTGAAGGGAGCCGCCACTGCTTGCATGTCTCAGGATGCATGGTTATTGGTCCAGGCTGCTGATGATGAGAGTTCTTCCCGGAGGCGCCTCCCAAAGGCATGCGGCGGAAAGCCTACTAACCGTTTTTGAATTCAGGCCCCGAAGGCATCATGAGACCGGGACCCAAAGCCAGCTCTCCCCAATCACAGAGACCAGGCTACCGTAGCTCTCACTTGCAGGGAGGCTCACCTTGCGGCTGTTCCTCCAATCCTTGGCATTTGCATGAACAGTAATCACTGCTGGAAATGACGGGTGCATCGAATGCTCTGATCAAACGACCCCTGGCCCCAGTCGCAGTTTCAGTACTGCCGCTGATCACAAATTTGCTGACAACTGTCATGTCCGCATGTAGCTGGGTCCCACGCATCGTTTTCCTTGCCAGATGGCCTCAGGCGCAACTGCCTGGGCGTCGGGCAAAGGCAAAGATAACAAGATCGCTGCTGGGTGGTTTTCTTGTATTTGGGCACAAGTCTCCTAAATCCTAACGGCCTAAACCCAATGTGTCCACTGCGAGTGTATACTGAGCATACTGCCTGCCTGAAGTAGGACTCGCTAGGAGCCATGAATATCATGCTGCGGCAGCCCTCCTGGGCTTTGGCCTATTCGGACCCAATCACAAGCCGCAGGCAAGCTTCGCGATCAGGGCCGTGCAAGGCAAGAGTGCAGATCAAGCGTGTCTGAGTTTCACTTGGCGACTGACCTTCCAAAGAGCTCCAGGACTTGGAACTTATCCAGTGCCATCGTTGCTTGTTCCTGGCAGGTGCTGAGTGCATCTTTACATGCCGCTTCGTCACTGTCCAGTCAATTCACGCATGAGGTCAGAAAGTTTGAACTGGAGCTCCAATCTCTGCTCAAACCTGCTTAACCCCAGCAAGCATGGCCGGAAGCGAACGAACGGTACTTCTTCAAATTAATGTCTACTGGTTACTTGCGCTCCCACTGTGCCACTACTCGGACAAGCCAGATAGGTGTACTGGCTAGTGAGTGACAGTAAGTCTCATTGGATGTAATTCCTTCGGCTGATATCCCGGCAGCTCCCAAAACTCAGACAGCGGTGCTGCGGTCATGTAGCGGACCTCGGCAGGCTTCAACGGCAGTGCAGGCTCCCGTCTACATATGGCAATCTATGGATATGGCATCAAGCGTCACCTGCCGTCCGGGGAGCAAAGGCATAGCCAGGTCCTGTGTCGTCCGTCTTGCTCCGCACGATGGCGACCTACGCAAAAATCAGATGTCTGAACGACAGGTGAAGCCAGCCTCCTCAAGGCCGCGCTTTGACGGATGTACGGAAAGAACGTGCAGTTTGCGCGAGAGCTGTCATAAGCAGCTGCCGAATAAGGTCCTCCTCCTCCTCCTCCTCCTACTGCTGCGTACACTGGAGTTCACCAACATTATGAGCAATGCCATCGCTGTCCTAATGATCGCGGCATAGTCATGACCATGGACACGAATTTGGTGATGGTCATGATGACCACGAACAGCATCAGCATGGGTTTGTGAGAGCATCCTCGACATTGCTTTTCTCTCGTTCATGTGTCAAGCTGACTTGCCCGTGAAACCACTGTCACCATCAACTTGCTCTTGTTATCATCTGGACTTCGTGCGACTTCATGCGGTCGAGTCACGAACATGTCACAAGCAGAAACAAGGCCCCACGTCACCGCGCAAGTCAGTGTACCATAACTGCACTGTGGCGTTGGGTGGTGCTTCAAATCAAAGGTGCATGTGCTTGAGGGACGCGGATGTTCTTCGAGATTCTATTCCTTTCCGCTCATGGGTGAGGTATCAAAAAAAAAACTATTTAAGGGATCAAAAAAAACTAT